CTGAATCCCATGAATTCAGCATCTGATACTTTGGTGATGTTACCTTTAGAGGATAGACCAAGATGTCTATATGTCTTTACCACCATCACCAGCCCACTCTAGAAAAACCCATTTCTCCCATGCTGGGCATTCCTTGAAAACAAGGCAAAAATGGAATGCCATCCTAAATAAGACTAACAAATGATCATGAACACGCACCCCACTATAATTTGAAATGCTTCCTGACCCAAATGTTTTATGGGAAGAAATGTATTCCCTTGAGACAGTTCTGGATTTTGCTAAAGGTAGCAGCCTCGTCCCCTGGCATGACATCAAGTGCACAAAAACAATTGATTCTGCAGGTTGATCTACACAAACCCAGCCCTGGTAGTTGATTCTAGCAGAAAGTATGTCTGTTTTGTTTCATTGCTAAGTGTGAAAACAATTATGTTGCTGGAAAAGGAGGGGGGAATGGTGAATGAGGGTAAATTGAGATCTAGGAGACTGGGCATAAAGTAGGGTTTGGGCCTCTGACAGTCCTGAAATGGGTTTCACCCTCCCGGTCCTGAGTGCGTCCGTGTTACACTGTAACCATCGCATGTAGATTTGGTTATTGGGGAGATCTTGGTTGAATTCTAGGGGGTTTCAGAGGATTTGATGCAATTGTTTTGTCTGCAAGGGGTGGGGCTAGACTCCTTTTAGATCTTCATTCCTTATCTGAGATGCTGGAGTCTAGTGGGAGGGAGCGCGCTGGTGGAATGCTTAACTTCCTGGTGCTCAATTTCATCACCTGCAGCAGAACGATGATGCAGAGGATTGTTCAGAGGATTCAAGGAGAAAAATATATTGAAAGCATCAGCCTTGTGTGGGGCACTTAAAGTGCCTAAAGAAAAGAAGCTCTTGTAACTACTGAGGCTTCTGAATTCATCAAATACAACGTTTGTCATATTACAAGGAAAGAATTAAAAGCCCAGGTCACACAGCTCCTGGTGAGAGCCGGGCTAGGTCTCCACGCTCTGGGTTATCTGGCTTGTTGGGCCTCACTGACTCAGGAGTCATCTAAGCTCGCTGAACTCAGAGTACATCACAGTTCTCGGGACTTCCACCATTGCTCCTCTCAGTCTCTACTCCAAAAATCCTCTCAATCCTTAAACCCTGTTCACACAACCTCTAAAATATCCTCCAAAATGCCTCCTGCTTTCCTGGCTCATGGGTCTTGCAGTTGCTGCTCTTCCAGAAGATTCTCCTCTCCTCTCTACCCATGGCTAGCCCATTTAAGTTTCAGCTCACTTGTTCTCTGGATTATGCCATGCCTTTCCCATGACATTCCAGCTGAAGGGCTGTCCCTTTCCCCCTCTCCTCCCCATGACGGCCGGCACAGTACTTTCCCACCTACAAATATGTATTTCCTCTTTTTATTGCCTGTCTCCTTTCCTAAATGTAAGCGTCAACAAGCATGTCTTCCATGCTTAATGCTAAGTCCCTGGCACCCAGCACAAAAGACAACACAGAGGTGTTCTGAAAATACACGTTAGGTGAATGTCTGAGTAAATGGATTCCGGAGGAAAATATATTTAAACACCTGGGTAGGAACAGGGAAAGGCTTTTAACTTGCTGGGAGAGGGGCTGGCCACCTGTTTGTCCGCCTTCCTGGCCTCCTAAAAGAACAGCACCGGCTACCCACAAGACAGGGACCCTTCCAAGCAGGCAACCCACACAAAAGCACATCTTGCAGTCAGGGGAAATGGGCGGATAGTTGCTAATTGCGACTTCCAACTGGGCTGATCTTTCAAAAGTTCGAAAGGCAAAGGCGCCTGCCTCCATAAATCCCCGGCTGCTAAGGCTGCTGAGGCTGCTGAGGGAGGAGAGGAGGGGTGTGCTTGGGCGCCTCCCGGGCTGGCACGAAGAAGCCACATCTCATCGTCCCTCCTCCCCCCGACTCCTCTCCAAGAGAGGAAGCAATGCAGATGGAGACGAGAGATAAATATCCCTGCCTGCTCCGTGCCACTGCAGACGTTTCCCAAAATGTCTGGCTTGGACCATGAAATCAAGCCCACCCAGGAAAGGAGGCGCTCAGCGGGAGAAAGAGGGGGAAAGGGTGGCATATTTGTCGATACTTGTCAGCTTTCTGGGGGGCAGAGCACATGGCTCATACTTGGCAGCCCTGCTGAGGTGGGGACGTAAGTGCACAGTAATACTTGAAGAATTGAATCACAAATGGTAGCAGAATTAAGGAAATCAATCCAGGGTGTCTGCACTATCTCTAAGACCTTGTCCAGGGACTCACAGCTGGTTCCCTCCCCAGTGACTTAAGAGATTCTTTCCACAATACCCGTGGCCTCTGCTCACTCTAGGGTAATGAACACAACTGGCTGCAGGAAGTCTTCAAAGGCCCTTTGCAATTTGGGCAGGAGATCAGAATCCATGCGTGGAGATATTCCTGCCACCTCGAAGCACAGCTCCGCTCTCCAATACTGGAATACCAGCAGGAGATGAGAACACAGGCTGCAAATGATAAGTGGGTGCTTTTGGCCTCAGGGTGGCCAAGTGTGTGGGGGAAGTGTCACTAAGGAAGGGAAGTTACAGGCCCAGCAACAGGCACCAAAGTGTTCTGCAGTTACAGTGACTTCACCAGGCATGCTGTGTGGCTGCAAAATGTCTTAGAAAAGGGAGATGAGTGGATGAGAATTTCAGCTTGAAAACTCCAGCAGAGGATATGTTAGGTCGGCTTCGTTTCTAACCCTCCTGTGAGAATTCCTCTCCTACTGTGTTCTTGATATCACTGTCACATCACTAGTCACTAGTTCTCTTGGTAAGTAAGTAACCAGGGTGGGGCCCTTGGCGGACTGAATTCCATTCAATGAAGAGCAGAGGGGCTGGGCTTTCCTGGTTTTCACTGGTTCAAGTCCAGTGCAGTAAAAACAGTTGCTCAAAATGAGGACTCATAGCAAGTGATAGCTTTTGAAGGTGTCGGGAATGTTTTCCAGAAATGTTGCATTAAGTTCTGCCACTTTTTACCATTTTCATCACTTAGCTGAGGAATGGATTATCTAATATTTCCTACTCATGTGCCCTGAATCCTTCTTGATTAATCTTCCCTGTTCATTCACCCATCTGCCTTCCTGTGCCAGGAAATTGCCAGCTGAATCCCACCCTCTCCAGAAAGCCACTCGGTGGGGGGAAGCTGGCAGAAGACCTGGGTTCCTGTCCCCATGCTGCCCATTGCTGTGTGGCTTTAGAGAAATTACTTCCCCTCTCTGGACCTTGGTTTCTTTGTCAAAGGAGTGGGTTGAATAAGTTTTTTTTTCAGCTGTGACACATTATGGGTAGTTCTACAGAGTGCAATCAGAAAATTCCTATTGTTACCATCCTCTGTTCATCCCACCTTTGCCAGTAAATTCCAGGCACTGGTGCCATCACTGGGATTAAATTCAATTCTTATACCTGGGACAGTCAGAAGTGCCTATCAAAGCAAGCTGGGCATACAGATACATGGATGCTATCTAGAAACAGTTTAAAATATTTTCTGTCTGCAGTCCCCTTAATTCCTAGTAAATATAATGTATGGATTGGGGAAATATCAAGTAGGGTATATTTGACCTTGTGTGCATCATATAATAATCATGTTAGTTATCTTTTATAAATAATAGCTGCCATTTACCGAGGCCTACTATGTGCTAGGCAATTGCCAGCTGAATACATTAAACTCTTTCACTAACATTATGATCCAGCTTATAATGGACCATATGTCCCCAGTTCCCATACAACACTGGCAACTGATACACACACAGATAAAGACACATACACATCCTCCCCAAAATAAAACTACATAACAACACCCCTCTTCTAAACCAAAACCCAAACTAGAGCTAAACCAAAGTTCAGAGAGGATGAGTCACTTATTCAAGATCACAGCTGGCTAATTATCAGTAATGGGATTTGAACCTGATTCTGTTGGATTCCAAAGATGATATGTTATGCCCGTCCCTTTGCCAGCCTTGTCTTGACATTCAGTGTCCAACAATGGTATTCTGCGGTGAGTCCCAGATTGATTGCCTATTCTATGGCGTTGTCAGAACAAAACAGCTGGTCTCACAGCCAGCAAGAACCCTGCTGTCAGAAGTGGCAAGAAAGAGGATAGCTATAGCATCCACCTAGTGCCAGGAAGGGAGGAGAACCTGGCCCTGAAGCAGCCCGTTTACAGTGACTCTCCCCATTGCTCATTTACCTGCAGAGATTCAGCTGGCTTCTGCCACCATTTCTGTGCTCATGCCCAATTCTGGCCACTGCATTAGAGTCTCTCAGAATTTATACTGATTCACTGACCTGTGCTAGATGTTGTAAACTAACTGTGCCCGAGCCCAGTGAGGTTCATGAATGAGTGTCCAGGAAAGGGCAACAAGAAGCAGGCATACATGTTTGGTCTGTGGAGACCACTGTGACTCAGCCCCAGCAGATCACTGCTATGCACATACGCACACCCAGTGCACTGATGTTATACAGTCTTGGAATATGGACTTCTCTGTGATGGCTCCTGATTTTTAAATGTAGCAACTGATTCAGTTAAGACAAGTGTACATCAAACACTAAGGAACAAATACAATCGATTTGCAAGCTCTATCTGACCTACAAATCTCTATTCGCAAGCTCTACAATGAATTTTCTTTACTTATAGATGAGGAAACAGTGGTTCAGAAACATGAAGTGATTTGTTTGCAGTAGCTAAGATGGGCTTCTGGGGCAGGAACTCTTTGAATACAAATATCAAAAGTGTGTGAGTGTTTGCATATTTCATAGATATACAACACACATATATGTACGTTGACAACTGAAATAGAAATGGTCTTGGATTACCTGCTATTATGAAACGCTCTATTTATCCCCCCTGTGTTATTATTATATATTGGCAGTTGACTACAATTAACACACATACATAAACCCAAAATGAATTATCACGACAGCATTCCACCCTGAAATGAAACCAAAACTAAAACCAGGAGAGACAGAAACTATTCACTTACCGTAAATGACAAAAAAGAAGAAAACAAAGTTCCTTCGTCATATCTGGATAATTTTGCCAGTACTCCTTCCAAGATAGTAACAAACTAGTAAAGCAGAAAAAAGGAAAAGAGTTATTATTTCAAACTGTAATTGTTCATAATAAAGAGCAATGTTTTTCAACCACACAGCACTGAGTGCTCGGCTAATTCTTATGGTTCCATTATTTGATTCTTGTTTGGGGGAAAGCAATAGACTGCCTTTACACAGAAATATTTGACTTATCCGGCTTTCTCTTCATTATTATGTGATTGCAAATATAGAGTGTTACAGAAGTGCAAAGTGACAAAATATTATTGAGTTGCATATAGCATGCGATAATATTAAATGCACTTTTCAAAATCCAAAACTGCGCAAAGCAGTTTTTATGTTACATATTAGCACTACATTTAATGCAATCTATTTTTATTTGTATTTTATCAGTAATTTGGGGGAAACAGAAGCTTAGTACTGGCAAATATAAATGTCTTCCCATTCAGCATTACTTAGTTAAAATTCTATAATTCATGAGGGTGACTGAAATAGCTTTATCTGACTTTTATGTTTTATTATGACTCTCGCTGCATGTGAAACTAGAGGAAAGGGGGATTTTCATGATGGCAGAATTCCTTATTACCGTTTAACTTTCTGTATTTAAAAATCTAACTTTGTCAGTGCTGGAAAACAAAACAAACATTTTCCGCATAACCGAGTGCAACGTTTGGGGACAAATTCTTATTAAGTTAACATATGCCACTTCATCGATTCATCTTCGCACGGCTTGCAATCATCAGAAAAATCATTCTGAGCTGAGGCTGGGTGACGTACAATCTTGTTTCCTGAGAAATACAAGTATTCAGCTCAACTTTTTAACGTGTTACATTTTAATGGAAATGTAGACATAACAAAGCCATGTTCATGATGAAACATTTCACCTGAAGCTGAAGGTTACCTTTGCAACCAAGAGTGTTATCATTTCTTTAACAGTTTCTTCAATTAGCTCGTCTATTTTTGAATGGTATTGATGCTAAAGAACACAGAAAGACAAATATTAGCATGTTGGGGAGGTGATGGCATTGTATCCGTCAGTAATTCTTAGACAACACAATTTATAAATAAAACCTGGCCTGCAGACCTAGTTTATTTCCATAGTCCCAGAAGCAGTTGTAAGAAAGATTCTGACTACAGATCTTTGATGAAGAGAGATCTGAAGCGCTTAAGAAAAAAAACCACCAGGAACACTGTTCCTCACTCAAGGCTTCCCTTGTGGGCTGTGATGTAAAGACACAGCCACACATTTACAAGTAGGACACACAGGTGGCTTAATGGCCTAGCAGAGTGCCATCTGGGCCTTACAAAGCATGATACCACAATAATGTAATACAGGGGATAAAATTATCTTTAGGAAACTACTGGGGGATGTGGCTTAGGTGTAGAATTCTTCCAAAGGGAATCTGATCAAGCACTCTAACTGATTTTAGAAAACTGTCAAGATGTTCAGATCCTTTGGTCTGCCTTGGCACTCCCCTCTTCTGTCTCCAAGCTTTGAATTCATGTCCAGCAAAACGTCTCTTTTAGAAACCTGATGTGAGCCCTTCCTTTTCCATTCGTGAACAAACAGACCAGGCTTAGAGCCTCCACCAAGACTGCTGCTAAGATTTTCAACTCCTCTAACTGCACTGTACACTACATTTAAATAGTAATGCAAAAACAAACCCCCACACAAACAAAAATCTGCTGCAAATGCCAGGGGAAAAGGAAAAGCGATTTCAACAGAAAATATTGTATGCCAGCTCCTTGACATTTATTAGATCATGTTAGTATCCATTTGAATTATTTCATAGTTCCTTAATAAAAAATAACAATGCAAAACAATGCTATTTGGAAAGGAAAATGCACTTACCCACTCTTGAACAAACTTTCAGAAGGATGATTAATTAGAATAGAAAAAAAAGGAACAGTGCAAATAAAAATCAGGACAAAAGGACACATGAGAAAATAAAAATTAAACATATCATCCAAAGAGCTACGAAAACATAGAGAAATAATAAGCCATAGAATGTGGTCAGATATTCTGATAACTGGCAATCAGAATTACTACAAGGAAGCAGAGGGATGTGGATTAGGTTAATTCAGTTAAACTTCTAGGGGAATATTTTTTTTTAATTGGAATACCTGAATAAAGTCCCAGTGCAAAGTACCAGGTAAATCATGCTGAAAATACAGTTTAGTTTATTTGTAAAAGATCAGGTAATAGTGCCATGACCCTGCACCAAAGGGAGAAGCCAGGACTAAGCACACCCTGTATAAAGATATTTAGTAGGTTTGTTTCTTATTTTTCAAAGCCAGTTTCTGGTAGTCCTGCTCTCAGACTCATATTTATTTTGAAGATGAACTGAGGGTCTAAATGTGAAAGCATTTTATCCACTATAATTGCAATTCAAATATTATTATATGTTCAAGTTCATAAAGTAGAAGATAAGGGAAAGGAGAGATGGTCTTGTTACTCAGTCATCTCATTGTAGTTGATAAGAGGAAAAACAGAAAATAAGTGTCCTATGTTGTATGGTCCTGATGAATTAGAACCCGCATTGGCTACTGGTTAAGTACATACACCAGAAGCTAGATGCAAAATCTCTCTGCAGAATTCTGTGTTAGAAACACAAAGAAAGATGTCAGAGCAGAGGAATTCAGGAAAACTGACGGGGCTCCAAATTCATTTTTAGGTCTTGAAATAAGAACCAGAATCACATGCTCACTTTCCCTCCTCATGTGACTGCCTTGTTCTGCTAGATGTTCTTTGGATTGCTATTAATAATTCACATTTATTAAATTTATTACAAGACTAAACTAACTTAGAAAACCTAGTTGAAGGCAAAATAACAAGAAATATTAAACGAGGGGCTTCCAATCAAGCAAAGAACATCATTGAGAACAGAAATGTTCTCTTGTAAAACTTGGCTGGAATGGCAAATAGAGCCAAGAACAGTACTCATCACTCACAAAGGAAGTTTAGGCACTCATTCCAAGAAGTTCACTATGCCATTCTTTCTCAAAAGACAAACTTTCTCTTCTAAAACGGAGGAGCCTCAAGCCTTTTCATCCTCTAAGGAATCAAAACTAAGCATATGGAGACATGGTCTACAAGACCCCTTCCACCTTCCATGTTTTCCTGCCAGACTCAGCCCTGACTTCTCTCTGGGATTCCCACTATTTTTCCCTTTCACTCTACGCTAATAATATGAGTTCTACTCCTCTCCACATTTCTTCCCCCATCCCCCGCATGTGAAGACAAGTGCTGGAATATGATTATTTTTCCTTTTCCAGAAGAAAGGAACACATTAAACCCCATAGATCTATTTCCTCCTCTCCTCAATGGGGCTAGAATGATCCCTGTTGTGAATATGGAAATGATATTCACCGAACAAAGTATGTAAACATGTTTTAGAATCTTAGAAATGCTGTAAGGCACCATACAATCATTGCTATAATTACTAATTGACTAGCATAGTGGTTACATGTACGCATTCATTTGTAATCTCATCTAGAATATATGCACTGTATTTTATGAAAATTATAACCTGCATTAAAAAAAAACTTACTTTGGGACAGGCAGGGTAATATCTATGCTGCTTATTATGTAGTAAAGGGATAAATATCAAAGTACCCCTGATCCCTATTGGAGTGATTATAAAATACACAAATCCCTTTTATCAGATTCTCCTGACACAATTAACTTGCTTTTCTAACTCTTTGCCCTTTCCTGGGAGGGACACTGTTCTATGCAGCTGGAAAACTGCATAAAAGGGTATAAATCCTACTGGGGCATCTTTTAATCACCATCCTCCAAACAAGAGTATCTGTCACATATCTCTTGCAATAGGATAAACTACTCAGTTATATCTGTATCATGATTTGAGCAAAAAGAGGGATCCTTCTTATTTCTGTATTTTTGAGTCCCCTCTGCTGGCTGATTAGATTGATTTGATGATGATGATGATGATGATGATGATGATTATGGGTGAAGACAACAACAACACCCCTAAGTTATATTCTTGGGTCCTGGATCATGATGATGACAAGGGAACTACTAATTTGCAATGACATGGTAAATGTGAGAAGTTGACTTTTTGCTTCTGATAAGCTAAGTTGCTGCAAATTCACAATTGCTTTGTGAAAATCATTCCACTTGACTTCCTGTGCTGCACATTTTGCCTTGTCATGGAACAGATTGTGTGTATGTTGTCTTTCTGTTAAGACCATCTGACCTTGGAAATGAGATGAAAACACACTAGACCAAGTGAGAAACTATTTAATACACAATTTCCTGTCTATTGGTGCTTCACAAATTTTAATGAAAAAATAAATATTTAAGATAGAAAAGTATGGCTAACAAATGTTTCAACAGCTGCCTTTAGATCTAAAGACTTTTACCCCAATGATGAAATTCAGGAAGTGAAGTGAAATTTGGAAAATACTGTGTCACCTGGCTAGCAGCTAGTATAAAACAGGTTGAGGGAGTTGGAAACCAGGAGGAGGCAGGTAATACTAACTTGATCTATGATATTCAGTATTTATACCCATTATTTACAGAGTGAAAGCTACATAAAAATATTCAACTATCTATTCTTCCAATTTCAAAATGTTTCCAGTCATTTGTGGTTAATTTAATTTTAACAATTCAGTTTTATTTATTTCTTTTTAAAAAAATATTTATTTATTTATTTATACAAGAACCAGGGTACAGGCCAGATGTGCGGGAGGGTGAGAGGATTCACCAGAGACAGAGCGGGGAACAGAACAGGCAGACAACAGAAATACACTGTTGAGGGGAGCAGTGGGCATGACAGGAGAGGTCTGCTGCGCCATGTGGGACCTTTGCCGGCTGGCTGGGATTGAACCGGCACTGCAGAGGCTACGGAAGGCTTGACAGTGCTGCACTCAACCGCCTGTGCCACCAGGGGAGGCCCCTTCAGTTTTATTTTTGAGATGAATATCCTCATTCTACAAAATGAGAAAAATTAGTAAGGAACAATTTGCATGACACTTCCCATTGAAGTTCTAATCAAAATCACAGCCACAGAGAAGACCCAACAAAGTACAATAAGCCTGGCAGTAATGTTTTGTTCAATGTTGCTTTGTTGTAACATCAACGAGAAGAAAAAATTCTCGCCAATATTGAATGAAAGAATGTTATTTGAGGGTCTGATTTCATTATGTTTGTTTTAATTCAGTTTCCAATAACCTATTCATGATGTTAAGTGAGGATTTATGTGGCATATATTTACAGGCAAAGATTTCTGACTTTACTCTGACCTTAGTCAGCATTCGAAGGTCAGAAGGGGCCTCACTTCCAACAATCTGGTCACCTAGTTGTCTCTGATTCAAACACATAGGGGAGAAGGGCTCTCTAGCATGACTTGGGAAACTGAGTCTTAGGCTAAGAACCATAGATTAGAATGTCATACTGAATGGGCCCTTTATAAAGAACATTTAGTTTGAGGCTGTGTGCACTAGTTCAGGAAAAACAAAATATTTACCAGCTTGTCACTGTTACTAAAAAAATAGCATTGCCTCATCTGAGGAGAATATATGAAGTCTTTCTACTTTATAAAGGAGAATAACATCTAGAAAGAAACGGACACTGCTGTTCAGTCTAAAAAATGTTACTGTCTGGACATATCCAAGACAACTTTTTAATCCTATGTTCAGAAATTAGGGTGCTTTTTCCCCAATTTTAATAAGCTACATACTTCTCAAAGGTTGTGTGTCAGAGGTATATCTCTCATTTGGCAAATGATGACAGTCAGTTATCAGAGTAAGTGACTTGCTCAAGGTTGCAGAGTTTGGTAGCTAAGGTATTCATGGGATGCATTCAATACTATTAGGTCACTGGACAACTTATTCTTCTAGAAAAGTAAATTTTCAAACAAATGTCACATAAGTGTTTAGTGGTAAGATGAAGGACAAGTTACATGGTGACAAAAGTCAACTTATTATTTCTTATCATGCATCTCCAACTGAGGACCGTAGTTTAGCCTACAAAGGTCCATAGTTCCCCCTCAAATTGTGTGGGAAAGTATCTATTTTGTGGGAAATGGCTCTATAAATTTCATCAGATTTTCAGTGGAGTCTGTGATAAAATTCCCCATCCTACTCCATGATTGTTTTTAAACATCCAGCTCAAAAAGAACAAAACTCAAGATCAGAGTGACCTGGCTTGTTAAGAAGGACTGTTTAGCTGTCTGGTCTATAAATAAGGTCATAGTCGAGTTAATCTGAAGAGGGATATAAATGCTGCTGAGAGGAAAAGGAGGCCAGACCCCCTGTAACAGCCCCTGTCCATCTAGGAGTGGTGTCATCATTGTGAAACTCAGCAAAAATGGGTATCATGAAGGACTCTGAGGAGGAAAAGAAAAATTGGGCTTCATGAAACTGAAAATAACTTTTGTATTTTAAAGGATATTATCTAGCAAGCAAAAAAGACAACCCACTGACCAAGAGAAAATAATTGCAAATCATGTATATGATAATGGTGTATTATTCATAGCACAAGTAACATGAAAAAGTCTTACAGCTAAACAATAAAAGGACACCTCAATTAAAAAATAAGCAAGTAATTTAAATAGCTACTTGTCAAAAAAGATACAAATGATCAGTAAGGAAAGGATGGCAAATACCATTGCAAATCAAACCACAACACACCAGTTTACACACAATAAGGACCACCTTACAAACAACTGGATGGCTCTGGGGAGAAGGCTAAGTAAGGGCAACAAGTATTAGGGAAGTTGTAGAAAAATAGGATTTCTCACACACCGCTCATGGGAATGTGAAATGGTGTAGCCACCTTGGAAACATTTTAGCAATTCCTCAAAAAGTTAAATGGAATGACAATCTCACCAAAGAATTGCACTCCTAGGTACATACCCAAAGGAGTTGAAAACATGAAAACCTGAACACAAATATTCATGGGAGTGTTATTCATAGTAGCTAAAAAGTGTCACCTTCAATGCCCATCAACTAATGAACTCATCAACAATATGTGGCCTATCCATACAGCAGTTTATTACTTGGTCACAAAAAGAAATGATGTACAACCTGCTACAACATGGAAGAATCTTGAAAACACAGGGCAATGTGAAAGAATCCAGTTACAATCACCTATTTAGTGATTCATAATTTGCCTCACATCCTTACAAAGTCACCACTGCCTACGGCTAGGGAGGGAGTGATAGGAATCACTACTAAAGGGCATGGATGTCGGACCTCCCTGGTGGCACAAGGGGTTAAGACGCAACCTATGAAGCTATCCACAGCCTCTGCAGCACGAGTTCCATCCCTGGCCAGGGAGCAACATACATGGCGCAGTAGACCTCTCCTAACTCGCCTGCTGCTCCCCTCAGCAGTGTATTTCAGTCAGTATGCCTGTTCTGTTCCCCACTCTGTCTCTGGTAAATCTTCTCACCCTCTGTACCCCAGTTCTTGCATGCATAAATAAATGAATCTTTAAAAAAAAAGGGCATGGATGTCCTTTTTAGGGTAATGAAAATGACCCACAATTGACTGTGATGATGGAGGCACAGCATTGTGAATACACTAAAAATATTGAAACTACACTTTACAGGGATGAATTACACATTAGTTAAAGAAAAAAAAAAATAAAGCAGCAGCAGCTCCAAGGGGAGAAAAAATCAGGAGGGATAGATTCTAGAGAGTTTGAACGCTGAAACAGCTTAATGAACTTTTGAGCTCACAAAAAAGCAGAATTTTAAAAGAGGGCTCTGCAAAGCCTACGAAATTGTTCAGAATGTGCAGAGAAGTTGGGTGGGTGGGTGGTATGCAGAGAAGAAATGCACAGGTGGAGCTTTGTCTGGCTCCCCTCTTCTTTGACCCTCTCTCTGAAATTTCATGCAGCATATATCTACTTTTATTTATTTCACAATCTGCCCTTAGTAAAGTTTGAAGAACAGATTCTGCAGCTAAGAACAGCATAAATGGAACTAGAATAGTGCTATCATATTGCAGATGAGGAATTGGAGGTCTAAAGTGGCTGAATGACTTGACTGCTTCCAATTTGCAGCAAAGCAAGGGCAAGAATCCAGGTATCTGGATGCCCACGCCAAGTCTTCCTCAGGAGCCTTTGCACCTGAGCTCGCCTTAACCCTGAGCTGAGTCTCTAGAGCTGTGGTTCTCATAGTGTGGTCTTCAAACTGGCAGCATCAGCATCACCAGGGAATTTGTCAGAAGTGCAAATTGTTGGACCACACCCCAGACCTATCAGAAACTCTTAGGGTGACAGCCAACAATCTGGATTTTTAAGAAACTCTTTGGATGAGTCTCATACACAATGAAATTTGAAAACCACTGCTCTAGGTCATTTGCATGCAGCAAATGGGATTGGGAAAAGAGAACCAAGGACTCCCTTGTATGTGACCTCAGTGCTTATAACATAATCCTTGCGGAAAGGTCCCTGACAAGAAAATCAGTCAGAAGCAGAAGCTAACAGGGTGGCTGTGGAAGCTGATGGGGTGGGGAGGGGAGGGGTTGTTGGGGGTGGGACAGGGATGGAGATGTTCTTGCCAGGAAGAGAATACCACCAACCCACATTTAAAAATGGAAGGTGCCGAAAGAGAAAATAAATAACGAATAAGGAGCGAATATAATTTAGTAAAAATTCTGAGCATGTAAGGCTGGTATCGAAAGATCTGATTTAGGAGCAATTTATGCCAATTGGCAACAACATGAGAGTTGCCAGAAATGTTTCTGAATTAATTCTAAATTGGTATATGAATATCTAGCTGGCTTAAGGCCATCATAGAAAAATGATCATGATAGTCTTTAATCAAGCCCAAGTTGCTGTTTCTTTCTCCTTTACATTTTAAATACCACTTTGGAATTGGAAACTTAGCAAAGGACTAAACTTTTGGTCAGGGAAGATTCACAATCAACTCAACTTAAGGAAAATTAAAATCTGTGATTTTGGGGGGGAAATTCAGAATGTGTAGACAGGGACTGGGTTACAGGATAATCTGACATTATATATCCTGACAGTTGCTTGATGCAAGAAAGAGTCCTCCTGCTGTCCAGATGTTCAAAGTGATAAAATGCACTTTAAATGTGAAAATGACTTGCATTGTGGTGAACAGATCTGTTGGAGATACCAGCCTAATAAATACGGTCATCGAATGTCACTGAACTTAAAGGAACTTTATGGCCATTGCAACTCTAGCCAAGAATCACTTCCAAGTGACTGGCATTCTCATTAGCACATGGCTTAGAAACTTACTTAGCAAACAGATACCAAACATTCATGTGTGGCTTAATCCACAAATGTTAGAGTATATTTCTGAAACTAGCAGACTAGTGTAGATAGAAGGAATTTGTAAAGTTTTCTTCTACATGATCAATGGAGGGAGAAAAATCTGTACTTTTTTTTTTTTTTTTTTTTTTACCTCTTGGCCCATTTCCATGCTGCAAAGTTTTGTTGATTGAGCTTTGGCATCAACCATAACATTAAACATGGTGCATATTGACTGTGGGACTCGAAAATCTGTTGATCGACTGGTTTTTTGCAGCTTAACTTCAAATGCAATCCTGGTTCTATTAAAACAAAGTAGGAAAAGACCAATTCAGCATTCAGATGGCAGCAGGTGGAGGAGACATTTTCTGAGAGGTCAGTGAAAAAGAAAATTGAAGGCTGTAATCAGTTTCAATCGACAATGACTTCACATGTGTTCTTTTTAAAATGTCTTTCTCTGCTAAGGAAGGCCTATTCACAGAGACAGCTATGTAAACCCTTCTTTTCTGGGCAGTGCACAGAACACCTGTAGCTCAGCGTATTTCTGTCTATAGTTTACATGCTATGGAGAACCCTAATTGCAGGAGAATGAATGAACAAAAACCCCAATTATAACATTATAGCATATGTAAGTTCTCTTACTTTGGCAACTGCCTACCTTGAATCACAGCATTAAAAAAAACAAAAACCAAAAAAGCAGTTTCTAATCTTCAAAAATCTCATGGTGGGGAAAATCTTAAAGGACGTTTATTGCTTTTTTTTTTCTCCTTCCTGATTTTGAAAGAGGCTGAAGTAGGAAAAAAAGCCAATGAGCTTATTATATTACTTTAAAGGCAAATATACATACACACACATATATGTGTGTGTATGTGTGTGTGTATGTGTATACATAGATAAGTGTGTGTGTATGTGTGTGTATATATATATATATATATATATATATGATGGCTGCCTTTGGGGAGAAAAGTGAAATTCAGAGGACTATGAAACTTCCACTATGTTTGAGTTTTGCAATTTCAAGGTATTGTTTTGCAACAAGAAATATGTAATTTTTATCATTAAAAATGTCACAATATACTTACCAATTCAAGACTTGTGTAATGGCAGCAATATAATGTCATATAATTCTGACACTGGTCAAATTATGATCCCAGCACTGTGCTACCCCTCACAGGTTAAACCTAGTCAGACATTACCAGCTGGTAATACAGATGTAGGATCTAATCCTTGATATCAGCATTATAAAGGGAACCAGGTATATTTTGCAAGGTTTCAGAGAAGTGAGTCATGTCATCACATGTCTTTAAAGAAAAAGCACCTGGTTAGTAAGCGGTTTTTATGAAAGCTCCTTTCAGCATTGTTCACGGTCAGATTCTGGAGATCATGCACCACCAGAAAAGCATTGCTTTGAGAGGTATTTGTAGCAGTTTTCTAACAGTACATAGGAGGACCACATAGCTAGTTAGCTCAGGAAAGGATGCCAGCTTGCTAACACACCCTGGGTGCATGCAGGGAAGCCAAGTATAATTTCTAAGGTTGGAAGCCCAGTTCTTAAGAAAAAAAAAAAAAACTATATAAAAAAAAATCAACCCTGAAAACACTCCTATATATTATATGATCATGTTAAAGATAAATGTATCTTGGCTTCTAAAGACTCTATGCACTGAAGTAGCTTTCTAATCATGATGATCATTTTAAGCTACACTGAAAATACATCATTTTCTGGATTTGTGAAAAGGAGGCCTGATGGGGACTGAGTTGGACAGGTCCCTGTGCTGATCTTCTGAGGTTTGCGTGCCAGTTCCGGCCCAATTTGAGAAATGGAAATGCTAAATCGCTTCCATAGGATGAAGTAATCGCCTTGTCTTCTGTTTTCACAGGAGAACTGTTCATAGCCCTTGGAGTGTGGAGTGTGAAAGGAGGAAGCTGAATGCAGAATTAATATGACTGAGAGGGTTCTATGGGACCAAAAAGCCAAGAGAGGTCACTTAATCCAACTCACTTTTCTTAAGGGTTAGCATGCCTCATTTTGCACAGATGACATTACCTGATCGAGACTAGACTAGAGGCTCTGCCAAGTTTGACAAAGAAATGGTTTAAATTTCTTAGACACTTGGAAATGAGCAGCGTCTTACTGACTTTTTGGCATTGCATATTTACATCTATGAAATAATGCTCTTAATTTGTTGGCCTTCTAGAACAAGTGTTATTCTGTCACCAAGGAAACAATTTTAGGTTCTACTAATAAAGATTCCATGTCCAAGTACTTCAAGTTTTACCCTCTGAATCTCAAGGTCTGGGGATGATATATCCACCTACCTTTGCTCTAGTCTGTATTTGTGCTTATGCCTGGGGCCTTAACTGAAAGGGACATTAGGAAATTTAAATGTTCAGTGCCAAGCATACATGTGCATTTGGCCAACTTCTGTTAATAAAGGCTACTTAACTAAGGTGCCAAGCATGATGCTGGGACTTGGACTAGTGGGGCTCAAAATGAACAGGATACGCACCCTACCTCTTAGTAGCTCACACTCTTTGAAGAGGCTAACCCATAAATATTAATACATGTGGTAAAGGACAAAAGGACCTTTCTCATCTCTATGCCTTCTTTTTCCCCCAAGCATCTCTGTACTTTTTAGTGAAGCCTACTCAAAATATTGCTTCTTCTCAGAGAAAGACATGAATGTCTTTCTGCACAATTGTGTACACAGATCAGGATCCTGTAAGTCTTAATTTGGATGCATTGCAGGCCCTAGTACATCTCAGGGGAGGACTTTTCACCACAGAGGAATTGTTCTGAGGGAAGTTTTTGGTGAAAAAGTTTGGTCACAGGAAAAGAATTACTTTTCCTAAAATTGATATAGACTAGGTAGGAGATGGTAGAACTCAGAACCCTAAGGAAACATTTTGACCTTGAGTTTGAGAAACAGGTCTGTCTTTGGTTCTAAGAATGGGAAGAAAAGAGTAAAACGCCAGATCTGGATCGCTAAAACTTTAAGCTTCCAGACAAGCCATCACACACCTGCCAGGATTCCCCACAGCACATATAGTTCTTTTCCCTTTTCCTGCTGAGACACTCACCTACCTGGGATTTTGTTGTTCTTTTGCCCTTTTGGTTTCCAGTTCTGATCTTATTATTTCTCTTTTCTTCTTCCAAGATATAAGATGATGAATTCAGAGCATGCCCAGCCAAACCCAGCCCCCATCAGCCACAACTGATCCATCAACTAAACTACACCACATCTGGAGACCTGAGGGGCTCATACTGCATGTGGGCTTTTTTCTTGAATGAAGAAAAACAATGGAACAGTTATGAACTGGAAAAGGAACTTGGGTGTGTGTTTGGGGATAGACAGGGTGATGATAATGATGTCAAATCAGAGGAATTTCATTTCTTTATGTGATGTACAGTCAAAGATACTCCATGAGGGAAGGGGTGCAGTCTCTCATTCTTCATGGTATGTTAAGGATTTAGCATTGGGCCTGGCATATAGGAGGAACTCAAACAATTTTTGTTGAATGAATGCATATTGGCCTCACTTTTTTCTCCTGACCCTCGAAGAACAATGCACCTAGGAGTTTTGAGTGTACCATTCCCACCTCAAGTCCATATGCCACAGTGACAAAACAGGCAGTTTGTAGGACATCAAAATACATGTTTAATATCACATACCCTCATGTTGCTATCTTACTAGATTTTGAGCCACATAAGTATAGAGTGATTGATGCTTCTGAGATTCTGTTCATGAAACTGGGAAAGCACTGGATTCTTGCTACCTATACTGGATAGTCTGGCTCTAGAATTGGATGTGCCTCTCTTTTCCCCCACCCAAGTATCTAGCCATGTACATACTCAAACATTTAATAAATATTTACTACATAAACATTTTGTATCAAACATCGTTTGAACCTGGGATGTAGAGATGAATAAGGATGGACATGTACCCTTTTCTTATGGAGCTAAATGAAAATATTGGCTGCCATATTGTGTTGTGTTTGGAACAAATGTGGGGCAGGTGATCTGAAGCTAGTCAGCCACCACTCCAGCTGACTTTGAAAAACAATTCTCTTCTCCCCAAATCCCTAAATTATGTCCAACTGAAAAAGTGGCCTGAGTTGGTGTAGAATAGAAAGGCATGCAGAACCTGGCTGGCCAGTCATGCTTACCGTTTGACACAAGATTCAATCATGTCACTCGCCATCAGCTTGAGTCGTTGTTCCAGGTGCTTTCCAAACTCTTCTTCGGGCCAGTGCAAGTCCCGAATGAAGGTCTGAAGGGCATCCAGTTTCCAGAAAAGATCTTCTGAAGTACCTGATCCATTACTGGCAGGATAAAAATTAGAAATCAAAAGTCACCCACTGGCCTTGGATTCTGAAAAGGCTGACACAAAGACTACTGGGGGCTAGAAGGCTTAAGGCAAACAGTGGCTTCAACATACAAACGACGCATGTTGGCGGTGGAGGTGGGGGCAATCTCCACCAGCAGATTTTGAGTTTTACCATACAGTCTGATTTCTTCAGCCAATTATTCCAGACCAGTGAGAAGTCTGAGGAAGGTGTTGCCCCACAACAACTAGGAGAACAGTGTATGGTAAAAATCAGCCTTCTTTTAATAACCACATTAACACATGTGATGATTCAGATGAAGGCCACGAACCAGAAGGAGAAATAAGTCTCAACAGATAATAACTACATGGCACCATGCAGTTATTAAGATTTAGGGTTTCATGCATTTCCCCAGCTCCCCTCCAGAGCGGAGGCCTCTTGGAGACTGCACAACACTTTCAGTTTTAAAAGGACAGTGCTAACAAAGTGGTGAGCGAGGACCTGCTTTCTCTTTTGAAGAGCTGGAAAGAAACTGGGGTGACTCAAAAGGAAATGAGTACATCGGGATACCTTGAGTCCAAGAGTCTTGTTCATTTTGGTTGTTATTCCAATTTTCACAGACCAGCCTATTGCATAGGCGGCCCCTGGATGAGGTGAGGTGGGAGGGATGGGGGGAGTTAAGTAGACAAGGAATATTTGCAAAGCTTTAGGGCTCAAAACCTGAGCTCTTTTACCATGTACCATCTTACCCAGTCCTCTGTACAGATGGAGAAATTGGTCTTGATTCCTTTCTGTACAATGACGTCTAAGAAACTTTTACCGGGGCATCCACAGAAAGCCTGAATACAGGGAAAGGCTCCATATCTCACCCTCTCGCCCTCCTCTGGCTGGCTTTCTCTTTGGTAACAATCCCATTTGGAGCTCTGAGGGGTGGCCACCCCCCACCCCCTTCCTCGCATACCACTAATGCTAACACGGTAATTTATAAAATGTCCAACACACCATGCATTACCACTTGTTCTGACATCGTCTATAGAAACAGATGAGAGTGGGTGTTTCTATTGTGACAGATGCCAGCTGCATTGAATTAATGCTTCAGGGAGAAATATAGCTAGTGCATAAATGCATACACAGCTACTGCGGGGTGGGGAGGGGGCAAACTCCCAACATGCCGAGAGGGAGCCTATGGCCTGGACCAACAAGCTAATGTTTTCAAGGACAGACCAGTCTGAGGTCAGTACGTAGATGTATCTGACACGAAGGAGCAGGTAACATGGAAACACGTCCTTAAAATGAAAGGTGGCAAAGGAGGAAACTGGAATTATGAAAAGATATAGAATCAGGCATTTCCTGTCGGTGACTGAGACTCTACACCTTTTCAGATACTGTCATAAGCATTGTTCAGAAATGGGGGATTGCCTTGTTTCTCCATGAAAGTTTAGCCTTCCCCCTACCCATCCTATGCTTGGGAAAAAAGAAACCCCAACTTTGTCTAGTCTAAACCCCGTTTTGGAACTGCATGGTTGTATGTTTTAAATCATTAAGTACATATGAATGCAATAATTGGTATTTATTACAACAACATTTTGACACCCATCTGGTTTCAGAGTTTCAAAAAATTCTTCTAGGGTTTTTTTTCTTTGAAGAGCTTATTATTAAGTTTTGACATGAGGAAAAGAATATTTTCTTTTTATTTTTAAGATAAACTGTTAATGTTAAGGCAATAGCACCAAGATTATTTTGATTGCTGAGCAGTTACCAAAATGTGTTCCCACTCATGCCTTAATTAATTGAACGGAGACCATTATCTGCTTTGTTATAATGTCTTGATTCATATCTTTTCAAAAACAATATCACAGAGCATGCACAGAAGAAGGTAAGAGAAGCTTTCAGGTATTTATTTTAAAAATTTGAACAGAGTATTACCTAATCTAACTTTTAATATAGTCATCTTAGCATGAATATGATTTATGTTTTTTTTTAGAAGATTTTTTTCAGATACAAATTTTTTGAGGTTTTAATTCATCTTTTAAAGAGAATCAGATACACTGACCATATGATTTCATTATGGATGAATATAAATTTTTAAAAATATTAGACTGCTTTGGAGGAACTTAGTAGTCATTTTAATGTCCCTTTTCTACCTGGATTTCTGCAAAAATAAAATTCTTGAGGGCCATCTTGATGAATGTGATTTTGAGATTTCAAAACATCACTGCCAGTTTCAGATCATTTTTTATTCCTTTGATAATAACACTTCCCTTTGAAAATGTGCCAATTTATTCTTTCAAGAAAAAGCTTATCTGGCCTATAATTAGCTGTGGTCTAAGAAAAGGATCAAAGGAGGGTATAGAATCGCTAAACCTTACTTCACTTATTAAATCATGCACATGGTTCTAATTTAATTTCCCTGAGGTAGAATTTAGGGGTGCTGGATCTTCTTCTTGCTAAGGAAAAGAAGAGAGAGAATTCATTTCCTAAGCTAGAAGAAATGGCTATGCAACCTCCTTTCCCCCAAGCTGCTGACCTTAAAAGGGTGGGTCAGACGCCAAGAAAAGTAAAACCTCTGCACCCCTGGCATTTGTATGGATGGATATAAACTATGACTCTATACTTATACCACAGACACAACTACAAAAAAATTGAAGTATCTGTTGCTTAAATCCAGTGTTAGAGGTCTTCTTGCTACTTCAATGTCAGCACTCCATATTGTCTCATGACTTCGGAGAATACCTTTACAGCACATTTACACCACTAAAGCTTGCTCCATTCAGATGTGTTCATTTGTCCCTGAACATACTGTTACTAAATCCTGCCATTTGCTGACACCAGACATATACTTTATGGTTTAAACATCTCTAGGAATTTTTTCTTTAAAAAAGAATCTTACCACCTGTAAGGTAGGTCTGTTTGCCTCTTAGGTTTATATAAGGCCAGAGATGACTGGCCAGTCTATTAAAGAGGCTTCCTGAACTGTTTTTGGATGAGTAACTCCTAATAAAGTCATGTCACTTGCTTGGAAAAAAACAAAACAACACACAAAACACCCAAAATGGGCAGACTCCTTTTGCAAAAGAATTCAGGAAGTGAGACATAGTCCTCAAGCGTTCAGTGGGCGTAAGGCAAATTGTTAGTGCTGTATATATAGCAAACATCTTACAAACACGCTGCTGCCAGAAATAAACAATATTGTCTCTGTATGATCAGCAAAATATGTCTAATTATCCATCTCCATCTCTGTTATATAGGATGTATAGAAATAAACAATACATATCCATGCCAAGATCACTTAAATTTAAATTAGATCTAATGTGAACTGAATACACACTCAGCATCATATATAGCAGCCATCCATGACGGTGCCGAAAAAGTAGGCATTTGTGGGATGCCTAGAGGGATGTTAACTGGTAGATTTGGTACTTTGGGAAGGTTCACATTGGGTAGGTTCACATTGGGTAGGTTACTGGTTAAACTCCTGTGGAAGAAACAGACAGAAAGAAAAATACCATCACAGTGACAATGCAGATGTGGCAGAAGCACACAAGAGTTGTAAATAAATTGGTTAAGTCCACAGCAAGACAACAGCAAAAACTCAAGCAACACACTTTAGAAGCAGCTTACGGATGGGGAGTCGTGGTGTGGCTCAGTTGGTAGAGAGAAATGACAAAAATTAATGGAAGAAAGATTAACCACAGAGCAACTTAAAAGCATGGACACTCATGGGACAGCTAAACAGAACTGGTCACCTTACTGAACTGCCTTTGGAAGGGACCTTTGGTTTTCAAATCCATTGCTGTGAGAATCTAGAACTGGCTTCACACTAGGATCTTGAAGTTCATGGAACTGCTGACATTACCATGGCTAGGGCTGCTGAGAAGTAGCTGGATTGATCTAAATGGTGGAACATTTCCATTTTCTTACATTTATTTGTAAATTATTGTTGATGGAAGTACATTGCTCAAGTCAGATATCAGATAACAAGATATAACAGGAAATTCACCCACTTGAAGGCAAATGCAATGATGATGTAAAGATGTGGAATTCTTCCTGCTACTTCTGAAGGCAGGTGTGTGTGCAATGAATGGGGTGCTCAGAGTTGATGGCGAAGATGAAGGACTTGTATCAAGAAGGAATACTGTTACAGAACAATTAAAGGTAATGGAAACTTATGTGAGTTAAAATGGAGAAATGTTTACACATACAGACACATACAAAGACATGTCAGAAAAGAATGCCAAATTCAGCTTTTAGGATAAATTCTTTGACCGATGGATTTAAAATCTAGTCTCATGTTATGGTAGTTACCCTTGGAAGTGAGATAGACTGGAAAGAAAGGCTGACAGAGGCTTCTGCAGTTCTGGGGATGTTCTGTTTCTCAATCTGTGTTTGTTACAAGATGTGTTCACTTTGTGAAAATTAACCAAGCTATGTATTTTTCAGTAAAAAGTTAAAGCTAAAAAGTACAAGTTTTTAAAAAGTGACCTATCAGTTTTTTGTTTTTGAACAAAGACTGATCACCTGATGTGATAAAGAGAGATGGATGGCTTTACGAGTAAAGAGAGAAAATAAAACAAAACAAAAACCCCAACTCAAATCAACCAGATCTTTTTGGAGGGACTGTGTCATACACTGCTCCACAAGCTGGCACTGTGTGTCTCTGTAGTGGCATTTTAAGGGTGTTCCATCCAGCCAAAGTCACTGGCACGGTAGAGCCCAGCCTAACTCTGCATCTGAGAAGAGCCTTCCTGTTTAAGTGGAGTTGACAGCACTTTGGCAAAGGAGTTAAGGCTTTCTTTTTGGATCTTGCAGGAGAAGAGCAAATTTTGCCAAAGCAGCTCTGCCCCGGGCAAGCTGCGTTTTACTAACAGAACTCTTGCAAGGGCTGGAGCTGCCTCTGGGTTTGCTTAGGCGGGCAAGTCTTCTGGTGGGTCAAAAACTCTGGACACTACAGTCACCCTTTGGAAATAAGTTACCCTTTCACAATGGCTTGTAGATGG